GCTCTCTGCATAGATTGCTTTATCTTCACAAGAACCCTTTAGGGTTAATACACATATTTGGTAAATTGTCAGAGCATTATTTGACTTTTATGTGATGAAACAACATAGCAACAAATTTTAAAAAGTAAAAGTCCCTAATAAAATGAGACTGTGATAAAAGCAATGAAAGCATCATTGTAGGTTTTAATTCACTATAATAGCTGAGCCAATATTCAAAATAAAGATAAAGGAGAGTGATAGCATTAACAAATCAGAATTACTATACACAAAAATGTATTCAATATAACTTATTCTCTAAAAAGATAAGATATCTTATAGATATTCACAGACAAATTTTAAAAACAATACTTTTTTCCTGATTATAAAAGTGACACTGGCTTACCATAGAAAATAGATAACATCCCTGTTCACATTTTGGCACTTTCAGTATTTTTAGTTTTCTGTGACCAGAAATATTATTAACAAAACCAGCATCATACTGCATATGTAGTTTTGTATCTTTTTTTTTTTATGTCATGAACATTTTCCTCTCTGTTTAAATGGTCTTCAAAAACATTTCTGTCCCTTGGATGTACCACTGTTTATCTAACTGCTCCCTTACTCTGGAACATTGGGGTTGTTTTCACTGTTTGTTCATAGGAGATATGTGTGTGTGTGTGTGTGTGTGTGTGTGTGTGTGTGTGTGTAAATTGATCATACACTAGGCCAAAGAAATTCTGAGTAAATTTAAAAAGGAGAAATTGAACTTGAGCAGAATTAATTGTCATCAATAATTAAACTTAAATTTCGAGGTACAACCAGTTGAAAAAAAATTTAAATCCTTTAAAAAACCTTTTGGGTGTGTTATCCATGGCAAGTTAAAATACATAAAGGGAGGAAAAGTTCATATTTATAATAGTTTAAAAATATGTGTATACATAAAACATTTGTTTTACCTAAGAATTATAAAGGACTGTATGAAAAGACAATCTATAAAGCATGAGAGAAAATAAAAAGCTAAAAAGTTACCTTCACTTTGAAAATCTGGTGAAAGCTATGAACCCCTCCTGAGAAAAATACATACATGTGTACACATTCTCATTCACTTCTTTTTTTTAAAAAAGCCTTTTTAATTTCAAACCTAGGCTTTTTTATTACATTTCAAACATAATTACACTCAGTTTTGCATGTATTTTGATCCCATGTCAAGAATACTTGGCCTAAGGTGATAAACATTTATTAATAAGTTTGTGTTAAATATGAAAAAATCATTTCCCTTATAATTCTATGCCTGGGTTTTTTAATCTAAAACATGTATCCAAGGAAAACTGGGGGAGAGCGGGGAATGTTTCAGTAACTTGGTTCAAGGTCAGCCAGGCAGGAGGGGAAGTTTTGAGATGCCTATGCCTTCTCATTGCCCCCTAAATATTCCAGCAGCCCTTGAGCAGCCTTTGAAACCTCTTCTGTCCTCACACGCACAACGTGGAAAATCCAGTCCCATGTGCACATTTGCGTGCTGGAAGATCCTGAGAGCTGCCTTTTTGAATTTCAAAGTAATATTCTAAGTGACATATAGGAACCCCCAGGCCTAATCTAAACACCTTCACTTCCTGCAGTCAGAGCTCACCTCCCACAGCTTCTGCAGCTTCCAAGACTGTGTCCCAAGTACATGAGATGCCCCTGTGGTGAAACGAGGGGCCGATTCTCAGTGACTATTCCAGCAGATCACACAGGGCTGGATGCCGGGATGGACAAGGCGCTTGTCCGTCTGGTACTTCTTTGGGTCCCTTGATGCCATCTGGACAGTTCTGGAGTCTGACGACCTGAGGGGCCTCCGGCCGCCCTCCCACTGAACGCCCGTAGGCAAAGAACAGAGTTCCCCGAACCTCATGATGATGGTGGAAATGACCTGGCAGGGGTGTTAACAGGGTCTCGTGAGTGCAGGATGAACTGCAGGATGAACCGGAAGGGCTAGGGGTCCCAGGCACCCATCAGTCAGAGACACAGTAGTGCTTAGAAACAGTTTTGAAGTGGGAAGTTTATACTTATCCCTTTCAGTGTCTTTTTTTCCTGTGTTCTTTTCATTCCCGGCCCTCTTCCTCAGACCTGTCCTGTCCAGTGTGGTAGTCACTGGCCATAGGCAGCTGTTTAAATGTAAATTGATTAAGAGCGAATAAAACTGAAACTGTTGCTTGGTTAGACGAGCGGCATTGCAAGCGCTTGACAGCCACACGCGGCTGGGGCCTCGCAGTGGAGCCCCGCTCAGGCTGCCCGGCTCCCCGCCGTGCCCCCGTCCCCAGTTTCAGCCCTGGACTGAGGCTGCCCATGCCCCCGAAAGCCCAGTGCTTCGGTCCTTCCCGCCCTCCTTTCATTGGCCAGTCAGATTTCTGTGGCTTGACTAAAATGCTTATTTGGATTATAAGAAAAGTATTCTGATTAAATTTCATGTAAAAAGTTTGAGCCTCCACTTAACTACTCAGCCCTGCATTTCAGGAGGACGCTGGAGGAGCAAGTCTCTGGCTGGCAGGATTTCACACAGTAAACGTGCCATTTAATCCGAAGGGTAGTGTAGAAGGGCTCATCCTTAGATCTCAGTGTGTGCATGCACACACGTGTGAGCGTGCATGCAGACACACACACACATGCACAGGAGTTAGGTGAGCATCTAAACGAGCTGACCCTTGGGGGCCGGTGTGCTCCCTCCCTCCTTGAGTAGTTCACTATTCTTTTTCACTTCTCATTAGTTGATAGATTAATAAATAATAAATGAAGTCAGCCTATTTTTCTCAAGCACCTAGTGTGGTGGCAGAAATACAGTATTTCTGTATGAGGCAGAGGGAACAGAAATAAATAAGCCGGCCCCTCCACAGGAGATTGTGGCCCAGTTAGTCTTTGGTAAGCACCATCCGCTTGTGAAGCCCGGGCAGCCTGCGTCTGGCCTCCGCCCCCCTGAGGGAGGGCTGCTGGCCCATCACCGTGGCTGACCACGGAATCTTAGAGACTATCCCCAACTGGTTATGTCTTGAGTCACAGATGGAAGGGTGTGCACGGAGACCTCAAAACAGCCTCCTGCTGTCTGTTGGTTTTCAGAGCCTGCCTACCTCCAGTGCCCAACTCGTCACACTTCCTGACTGTCCCTTGTCTAGTTCTTGTCTGCTGGAATTTTGGCAGCACCCTGCCAGGTGAGCTTGCCGTCAGTCAGTCTTTCCCCTGGGCACCCCCAGGATGGGGCTGCGGTATGCAGGAGTCTGGCAGACCTGGGCTGTCTGGCTCCACCCCTCTTTATCTGTGACCATGGGCATTTCCTCCGCCTCTCTAAGCCTGTTTTTTCATAGGTAAAGAGGGATAATAATGAGATAACGAGAGGCATAGGATAAACTGAAATAATGGGAGGCATGGAGGTGTTGACCAAGGATTTGGGAGCTGGAGTGGGTTAAGGGAACTAGGGTGTAAAGATAACTGATCCCCTCCCAAGCCCCTGACTGAATCCTCTTTATGTGTGCTCATTTGTTGTAGTCTGTGGCTTTTGTGGTATAGTCATCTGCTCAAAACTTAAAAAGTGAGAGGGAATTTTGTTCCCAGGGTCACAGACCTTGGGCAGCCTTGCTCTGGGGCCGGCCTGCTCTCTGCTGGCCCTGAGACGGTGCCCGTTCCTCCGCATGCTGGCAGATAGAGTGAGATGGGGCAGAGGCCTTGGGCTCCTGCATGAGATCTAGAGGACATTTACAAATTATTTTAGCATGCAGTATTTCTCCAGGGAAGGTTTTCATGGATACTAGTATCTATTTTATGTTATGTCTGAGTTTCTTTTTCAGAGAGTGACATTTCTCTGAGCTTGTCCCTAAATTCTGTGCAGGAGTCCATACCTCCCATGCACTGCCATACTACGTGCACTTGGCAGCGATCACTTTTTACTGCCTGTGTTTGATTTGCTCACTGTTTGCCTTTGTTTTTTGACTTCCATTAGCATGTTCTTCTCTTGGGCCTAAGGAAATAGTGAGAAACACACCAAGTTAGGGGCTTACTTCACAGCTTTGGAATGTGCATCTGTCCCAGCATAGGAACTGTGACCAAAACTGCGGTTGTCATATTTTAAACGCAGATTGAAGTAGTATTTTTTCTCGTCCTTTCAATCTAACCACACATTTCAAATAGAAGACGTATAGAATAAAAAATAAAAGACAGTTCATGAATTCCCCAGCGGTGGGGAATAAAGGGCTTTGAAATCATCCAGGGGGCAAAGAAGCCCTGGCCCCACACACTGAGTCAGGGACGCGGGCGTCTGTGGGAACTCGGACAGCAGAACTAGTTTCTGCCACGCGCCCTCTGCCGTTCCCGCGCTCCTGCTGATTCCTGCGGCGGAGGGTCGCAATGGCACGGGTGCTCCAAATAGTGCTGTAAAAGGCTCACTTGTATTTCTTTTTAAAAAATTTTTTATTAAGGTACTATTGATATACACTCTTATGAAGGTTTCACATGAAAAAACAATGTGGTTACTACATTTACCCATATTACCAAGTCCCCCCCATACCCCAGTGCAGTCACTGTCCATCAGTGTAGTAAGATGCCACAGATTCACTGTTTGCCTTCTCTGTGCTACACTGTTTCCCTGTGATTCCCACACCATGTGTACTAAACAAAATGCCCCTCAGTCCCCTTGTCCCTCCCTCCCCACCCACCCGCCCTCCCGCACCCCTCCCCTTTGGTAACCACTAGTCCCTTCTTGGAGTCTGTGAGTCTGCTGCTATTTTGTTCCTTCAGTTTTGGTTCATTGTTATACTCCACAAATGAGGGAAATCATTGTATTTCACTGATTTAAAGTTTCTGTGCCAGAAAAGTTGGAAGACATGGGACCCTCTCCTGAGAAGTCTGTCCTTTGGCTAAAACCAACCATGAGGACCTCCATGCCAATGTACATCTTATGTTCAAATAAAGCTTTAGGGCAGCGCAGAGGCTGCATGTATGATGGCCAAAAGGTTGGGTTCTGAATTCAGATCTGGCCTCTGCCACTTTCCAGCTGTGTGACCTTGGGCAAGTCACTTAACATCTCTGTCTCGGTTTCCTCCCTGTGAAATGAAGATCAGAGTTTTCATGGGAGGAACGAATGAGGTGATAGGCGTAGCACTCTTAGAGTGGTGCCTGGTGCAGGTGAGCCCTGGAGGTGTTTCCTCTTATTCTCAGTATTGTTCCTATGACCCCTGACCCCCGCCGCCACCACTGTAGTTACGTCCTCCTCCTCTGCCGCGGGCTCTGACAGCACCCTGGGTGGGGTTCTAGCTCCGCTACTCACCGGCAGGGTGTCCTAGTAAGTCTACAAGCCTGTTTCTATACTTGTCACCAGGGGGTCGGCCATGCCTCCTGCACAGGGTGGGGGTGAAGGGGGCATTATGGGAGGTGCCGACGGCAGGCCGTGCTCTTTGGTGTCACTGTCACTGGCGGCTCTCAGCCATGCCGCCCGTGGCCTTTGTGTCACAAGTAATTTGTTCTTCCTAATAAGTAAAACATATGAGCTTAATGTTAATAACTAAAAATTATTTTAAAAATGTCATCAGCACCAAGTCAAGGTTACCCCCCCACATCTCTGTCGACTTGCACCCAGAGAAGTGGAGAGCGCCCAGCTTGGGCACAGCCAGTGCGCCTGCAGGAACACAGTCCTGCGTTTGAAAGCTGTGTCCCGTGGGGGCAGAACCCCTTTGAGGGCCGCAGGTCATGGGGTGCTCTCCACGTGCCTCCATGCAACCCACCTCAGTTCCCCCTGCGGCCACACCAAAGGGCCACAGTGCCCGGAGCCCAGCCGTGCTTACCGGGCCCGCCCATGGGCCGTGCCAGGGACAGACCGTTTGGGCTGTTGCAGCCGCTTCTGTTACACGGAACAGCTACTGCCGCTGCCCCGACTTTCCTCATTTATAAGTATTAACTGAGCGCCTGTTATGAGGGAGGCAGCATTAGGTTTATGACGATGCCTGAGAGAAGTCTGTTTAGGAAGCTTCCCATCAAGTTTGATGGGCAGGCTGTGTGCATAAGAAAGTAGCAGAGAAACATTGGGCATGTTCTTTTTCTTTTTTAGCTTCCAATTTTAAACTTTTACATTTAGGAAAAGTAAGACATTGTTTATAACTTGGCCCTGAATTCTTTGTTGTTCATTAAAAAAGTAACACATGCTCATTGTATTAAGTCTGGGAAATACGTAAAAATTACAAGGGTACAGAAAAAAATATTCATATTTCATTAACCAAAAATTACCATTTTAATGTGTTTTTTTAGTTGTTTTTCATGCAACTTTAATACATGTGATACCACTGTCCATATTTATATCCTGTTTTCTTAAAATTTTAACCATTATGTAATCATTACTTCCCTGCTTTTAAAATAATTCATAGGTATAATTTTAATGACTAAATAATATTCCATCATATATACCTTATAATTTATAACCATTTCTTATATGTTGGATATTTTGGTTGACTCCAATTTTTCTTTACTATAAACAGTTTTTAGTAATAAACATCTTGGTGTCTGTCCCTTGTGTTTCTGATCATAGATTTCCATAGTAGAATTACTTGGTCAAAGCATAGAAATGTTTGTAAGGTCATTAACACATGTGGCCTTGTCTTTTGGCAAAGATAATTAACCTAACAACATTTTTGACTCTGATTGACTTGAATATTTATTACCTAATTACAGGAGATCCTTAGCCTTTGCAGATCTAACATTCCACGTCGGTCATACGTAAAGTGTTTTGCAGGCTTCCTCAAGCACAGTGTCTATTGCAGGGGTCACGAGGCTGCTGTGCTGAGTTGAGTCCCTCGGCTGGTGAGTGACCAGGGACCGCCTAGCACGTTTCGCTGGGGCTTCAGGGTTCTCTGCAATCTCTCTCATGTACTGTTTTAAAATTTTAATTTTTTTAAATAGAGAGAACTTTGAGGAAAACAGAAAAGACCATTAATTTATGGTGTACAAACACGCATAGAAAACCTGTTGACTGTCAGAGAAATGTGACTCAAGAACAAACCAGTTTGTACTGATGTTTCCATGTTAACAAAAGTGATGGTTTGTGAAGGTCCGCCGCTTTGTAATTGCTCGATAGTATGTATTACCCTGTCAGAAAATAAACCCAGTTTTGTTTTTAGGGCCAACTGAAGAAATTATTCTCATTCAAACAGATCGTGAAATGGCTATATATATCTTCATAATGAAGTAGGAAAATAAATGTATTAAATATATTTTTTCCTTACTTGCTTTAATTTTGAAACAAGTTGTATTTTGTGGGAATGTCTTATACTCTAGCTAGGACAGAAAGTGTTTGGAAAAGTTTAATCAGTGTCTAGGAGTCTAAGAACAAAGTTGGCAAGAAAGATGTTGCTTAGAACGATCCCCAGTTGATCTCTGCTTAACCTTGTGCTGCTGAATGAGACTACCCGCCTGCCAGCCGCCCAGCCACCAGGCTGAGAACAGCAGCCTCTCCCCCTCTGTCTGCCCTGTTCCCCTCGGGTCGCTTTCTAACCTTTTGGCGACAGGGCGGCGGTGGCCATGTTGCCTCCCAGCTGGCCCCCTGAACGTTTTCTGCTGTTACTTCACGGTGCACTGGCGAGCTGACATCCCGCTCTTCCCGTCCAGGGCAGGGACTGCCTTTTCTTCTTCCCCGCAAGATCTCAGATGCATACAGAATGGGGCTCCCAGTGAAGGGACTCTGCTGCTGCACGCCTGGGCCGTTCTGTGTGACCTGGCCTGTGGCCCTGCCCAGTATGTTAAAGGCCTAGAATCAATAGGTCTGTAATATGCCAGCCTCACGCTGATGAGCTGGTGATGGTGCAGACGGAGTCGGGTCTGATTTCTGGCTGCTCCTGTGGCCTTCTTTCCCAGGCTCGGGGGCCACTTGACCCCCGGGTGGCCAGCCTCTCGCCCATCTCTGGGACCCAGCCCCCTCGGAGGCAGAGGCACTGAGGTTGCCTCACACTCTGTAATTTGGCTGCAAGTCACCATTATTGGCCTTGTGCCTGAGCTCCGATAACTGGACTCCTGTCTGGTTCCCGCGTGCCAGAATCCCATAGTGACCTGCCTCAGATCCCTGTGCCCTGTTTTTATCAGCCTCCCTCCCAGGGACTGAAGTCCTGCCCAGAAACACAGTGACCGATGCACTTTCCTGATGTCAGCCACCCATTCTGCCTTTCTGCCTGGGCTCCAGAGCGCCCTGGGTTCTCACTGCTCCACGGTGCCTGCAGGCAGTCAGGAAGCCCCTGTCCTGGGCACGTATCTCAGCAACTGAACTCTGTTCTTCCAGTTACTCAGGCCAAAACCTCGCAGTCATCCTTAACTCCTTCCTCTCTCTCAAAGCCCACATCTGAGCCTCCCACACATTCTTGGTTCTACGTTAAAAATATACCCGGACCCTGACTACCCCAGTCTGAGCCACTATCATCTCTGACCTGGATTTTTGCAAAGAGCCTCCTGTCTGGTCTTCTGGCTTCTGTCTGTCTCCCCATTCAGTTCTCAGCACTGCCATCTGACTGTGAGCCAGATTATATCCCCCCCTGCCTGCAGAATCCTCCAGGCTTCCCATCTCAGCACAAAGCCCAGTGCTCAGTGCCTCACTCCCCGCAGGGCCCTGATTGCCTCTCTGCCCTGACCCACCACCCACCGCCCGGCAGCGTCTGCACTCGCTCCTGCCCCTGCATAACCGAGTGGCCCACTCCTCACATCTCTCAGCTCTTTATTCAAGTATCTCCACCAGGGAGGCCTTCCCTCTCTAAAACTGCAACCCTCTTTTGTGTTTAATTTTTTCTCCTTCTCACTGTCCAATACGCTGTGTATTTCTGTTTATTTACCTTATGCATAATCTGTCTCCTCCCCTAAGCATAAGCGCACTAGGTCAAGGGCACTCTGGTTCACTGCTATATTCCCCAAGTCTGGAATAGGGCCTGGCCAGGGGAGTCATTGAATATTTGTTGAATAAATGAGTCTGACAATTGAACCACTGCCCTGTGTCAGCACTGTTCCAGGTGTTTGACATGCACCATCTCCTCTGATTCTCACAGCAACGTGTGGCGGTATGTTTGTGATTCTCATTTTGCTGACAAGAAGATTGCGTCTAATTAGATAGGTTAAGTGATTTGACCAAGAGGATCTGAGCTATGACACAGGTGTTCAGATACAACTGCGTGGTCGAATAAACATAGACTTTGTTATTAGACAAATCTGCTCTCAGGTCCCAGTCATGACAGTCATTGGTTGAGTTAAAAGCCCTTCAAGCTTCAATTTCCTCAGTTATAAAATATAGACAATAATTCTACCTCTCGGCTAGGAGGATTGTATGAGGTCGTGGGTATGTTATTTTCATATGGATTTTCCTGTTTGTTGTGAGATTTCCTGTTCATAACCTTTGCCCTTTCTCTTCTTTAACTGTTCTTTCCTTTATTTTATCAAGTTGTGGGAGTTCTTCAAATATTAGAGATGCATGTTGTCCCGTGTGTTACAAGTAGCGTTCTCACACTATTGTTTGTCTTTTGATGATGTTTCCAGACTCTTTGGTGTTCATACAGTCAGAGGTCCAGGGTTAGTGACTGAGCAAGTCAATGAGAATACAGATTTTTCATTCAACAGGTACTTACCGAGTGCTGGCACTCTGTGGGCAGGTCGCTCCGTTGGGACAGCTCTGGATCCTGACTTCCGGTCTGCATCATGGATGGTGGCTCTCGGCTTTGCTGTAGCAGATGTCTGAAAGAGAATGTGTTTTCTCAGAGTCAAGTAGACCCAAACATTTCCCACATCATCAGAACTTGGCCACATCATTAGAGATTTCCAAAGAGTTCTGGAATTTATGGGCCCGGCTCCAAAGGACCAGGCATACGTTGTCTCCTCTGTGGCGTGTCTGCGCCCAGCTCACCCCGCCCTCCCAGCAGCTGTGTGGCTTGAGGAGGGCAGACAAATCCTCGAGCCATGCCCTGTGGAGTGCCAGGGGCAGCCGCAGAACCAGACTCCCCATTCCTATGGCTGAAACCTGGGAGGCTCCTCTGTGATCATGTGACGTGACACCAGCCCCCGGCGCTGCAGGTCCGCAGAGGTCTTGATATTGCAGTGGTTCAGCCGAGCGCAGCTTCCAGAGGCCACCTGCGTGGACTGCAGGCCCAGTGTGGGTCTGGATCATACAAGTCCCTTGAAAGAGTCACAGGCGTTCTTGTTTCCCCCTCAAGTTTCATGTCTAGTTTCTGGTGATGTCTCACCAGAACTGTCTTGTCTTACAAGAACTGTCTTGTAAAGCCACTTGGGGGCTCAATAAAATGGGTGTCTCAGAAACCTTTACTGCCACACAAGTCCTTGCTCTGAACAAGCAGCTTCAGTAAATCTCTCTCACTGGCCCCTGCAGCCTGCCGTCCGGTGCATCAGCGTAAATGCGGTTTCCATGCTCTGCCCCAGCGTCTCAGCATGGTGGGCAAGAGAGACCCCGGGCGCTGCACTGGACATCTGTTACTGTTTCACCACCAGCTACACGGGGGCCGTAGACAGGACCCTTATCCTGTCTGTGCTTCAGCTCACTCGTCTGGGATGCGGCTACCCAGCAGTGCCTAATGCGCGTATGTCCTTAGAACAAAATGCCCAACAGTTAGTGCCCAACACATGTTGTCAAGTTCCTGCTGCAACCTCTCCTGTTGAGTGAAGCCTTGGGAGCTGGCATACCAACCTAATTTGACTTCAGTAAATTGTTGGTACCATTTTCCTGTCTTTGACTGCAGGTTCCCTATCTGCTAGAGACCTAAGCTTTTGCTGTGTATGTACAGCTTCCTAAATTCCTGACAGGCTAGTTACATCCTGCTCATTCTTCGCTGACTACAGGAAAACACTTTTACTGAAAGTCTTCCTCGGCCTGTCCTGAAGTCAGCCAGGCTGTGCATTGCTGCCCTGGTCCCGTGCAGCTTCCAGAAGAGGCAGGGGAATACCCAGAGGGAGTGGGCCTGGTGGTGGCAGACCCAGCACCCGACAGAGCCCCGGCCACCAGGTCCCTCGCTTCCCTGTCGCGCGTGCAACCCAGATCACACGACCACCGGGAAGCAGCGCTCTCACCTCTCTCCCTGACTACAGCCTCCCTCGGCCGAGGCATCCAGGAGAGGGAGAAGCCTTGCCTTTAAAGTGGCGATCGTCTCTGGCTAAGCTTGCAAGTTCTCACATGTGTTTGGCAGGAGAAGCAGCCAAAGTCGGACTCCGGTTCCCTGCAGTTTCACAATAGTCAGGAATCCGAATTGGTCCCTATGTTATGAAACAGTTTTTATGCTTTAAACTTTAAAACTGAGCTTTAATTGTTTGTGATTACTTTGGACGTTGTCCAAGAATGAGAATAGCATCTGTGGGAGATTGTGCACAGGCCTTGATGCCAGACCCAAAGTAGTTTCTCCGCTTCAAGGTAATAGTCTGTGTCTCAGGGAGCTGCCTGGGTATAGAAACGGCCGCTGGGACAGCAGCTCGCCGGCTGACATCTCGGCCCTTCCCCATCTCTACCCGAGCCTCTTGGGGATGGGACTTCAGAAAGCTCTCTTCTCCCCATTTTCTCTTGCAGCCTCTTTGGAGGCCGTCACCATGGTAACCACCTTCTAAGCTGGTTTGCCTGAGTGCAAGGGAAACCCTCCCCCAGATGTTATTAGACAGTTTACGGGGTGGGAAGAGTACAAGCTGTCCCAGTGTCCGCCAGTGTGCTGTGCATCACCAGTGCCCAGGAAAGCGGTCGCAGCCCCATTCTGCTGGTGCTTAAATGGCGATGTGCCAACTCACACAAGTGGCAAGCGACAGAGGCAGCATTTGACCCCAGGTTTCTCTTTCCCAGGCTTCTGCTCTCGCTTTACGGATTATTTTTTCATTTTGTATAGACAAATTTGTCTATACTTTTTGTATAGACACACAAAATAAATTTGTTTTCAGTTAGGAGAAGTGTTACATTCTTTTTGCTTTTCTCAGTCTAGATACATGCCTTTTTCTAGTCCCCTGGGGCCATCAGATGCCCAGTTCAGGGTGACTTTTGCTTGGTTCCCTCACTGCCAGTCTCAGCCTACTTAAAGTCCTTCCCTTGGTTGTCCGGGAGGTCTGTCCTTGGGTTGGTTTTAACTCTCCTCTGAACTGAGATTGTCGGCCTGGAACTTAGTCAGTGAAGGCCAGAACTGGGGGGCAGAAGCCAGGACGAAAGAGGTGCTCAGCTGGCAAAGGAAGGAGCAGGCTAGACCTGGAAGGCGAGCAGGGCCTGAAAGATCAGAGCGCAGTGCAGACGGGGGTCGGCTCGGGGCGAGGCGGGGCTCGGCCTGGATGCCTGCAGGAGGGAGACTCGCTCAGGGACCTGACCCGCTGGTGAGGCGGAGGTTGCCCTCATCTCTGCTCAGTATCTCACCGCCATTTTGTCATTCATGAAATTGCTCAAGAGACGCTTTCTTCCAGTCTGTGCCTGTTCAGCCTCTAAGCAGTTAGGGGGTTAGTTTAGAATTAATTAGCCCACACCTATCGTTTAAAAGGTTTAGGGCAGCTTATAAGTTAAAATGTAACTCAAATGAATCAGAGAGAATTTTTTTGATTAAGGTATCATTGATATACACTCTTTTGAAGGTTTCACATGAAAAACAACATGGTTACTACATTCACCCATTTATTGAGTCCGCCCTATGCCCCATTGCAGTCACTGTCCGTCAGTGTAGTAAGATGCCACAGAATCACTATTTGCCTTCTAGAGAGAAGAATATTAAAGGGAGAACATTTATGGGAAGCAAATCATAGCCGCATAAGAGGCTGGGCTTCTGCCATTGGTGGCCTGCTCTATTTTGGCAGTGACCTCTCCATATTGACTGCTTGCCCTGGCAGATGAATCAGAATTCTAGAACCAGAATAGACCCTGCAGCTCTTTTATGCAATATTCTCAGGTAAGACCACTGAAGGCAAGAAGTATGTGATTAGCTTAATGCAATGCTACTCAGCTAGTAAGTGGTTGGTGCTAGAACCAAATTCTGCTTACCCGGTATGGAGTTTTTTAGCCACTCATACCATTTGACCAACACATCTGCCCTTCGCTCTGAATGCAGTGGGAAAGGAGGTTTCCTCCTTCCTTCCTTCCAAGCCAGGTTCCCGCCGAATTATCGCTGCTGCCACTTCCTCCACTGCCCTTACCGGTGGGAGTGTCCTGACTCTGCGCCGTGCGTCAGGCACTATGGCCGAGTGCTCTGTATACATTGTTTCATCGCTCCTGGACCCCCAGAGGGAGGGGCTGTCGCTGTCTCTGTTCACAGGGAGACAGCTCAGGCGAAGGATCAGGCTCGTCCCCAGGTCACACAGCCACAGATAGAGGGCCAGGTTTCTGGGCCCGGCTCTCTGATGCTAACCGTCTTTCCGCAATCTTTTTGTTCTCTTGTTGGGTTGCTAAAACAGAACTACTTTCTCTGAATGCAGAAGTCGAAACCTGTAGAGGAAATTCAACCACAGTATTTCTTGAGGGAAGAAGAAATCATTTCCTGATTTCTTCATTTCTTAGTCCTGTGACATCATTAGGGCTGGCAGAGCTGCTCTCTCGCCCTCACACACGAAGATGAAGGGGGGATAGTTCTGCAGGAACTCACTCTGGAAGCCATCTGGAGGGCCAGTAGAGCGGCCGCCCTCTTTGGTGTTCTCTGCCCTACGTCAGGCCTCCGGCGCCTGCTGAACTCGCCATCCCTGCCGGGGAGGAGCGGCGGCCGCAAAGGCCCAGGCCCAGTCCTGCAGTCACTGTAGACGTGCTTGTCTTGATTCTGATCTGCTTTTACTACAAACCCTGTCTTGCCCGTTGCTAAAACCTGGGCTCTGAAGCCCCAACTTTCAAGCTACCTCTGACCCTCTGAACTTGTTTGTATTTGCCATGGATAGAAAAATCAGAAAATAGGAAATTCTTCCACAAAAATCTCTGGGAGCAGGTTTGCTGTTCCTACAAACAAGGACGTGTGGATGGAAAGCGGATGTGATGATGAGACCCTCCAGGCAGCAAGGGTTAGCATATGGACTCCGGACTCAGACAGCCGGGGTTCAGAGCCTTCTCCGTCTTGTCTGAGCTTTGTATTAAAGAATCTAGGCTTTCTAAGCCTCAGTTTCCTTAATTATAAGATGGCAATAATAATAGTACCGTTTCACCAGTGTTGATGTGAGGATTCAGTGAGATGATGTATATGAAGCATCTCGCAATGTACCCAGCACGTTGTGAATGACAAAGGCTAATATCAAAGTAATAATTTGGCCTTTTTGCTTGCTGAATTAGGAAAACATTTTGAGTTGATACTCACTGTTGGTGAGGGGGTAATGAAGTTTGGTCTTGTACACATTACTACAGATATTGTAAGTGGTATACATCTTTTTGAAAGCAGTTGAGGATGTTTCGTATGAAGAGTGTTAAGATATTCATATTCTTTGGTGAATTCTACTTTTGGGACTCCTGCCTGAGAAAATAGTCCAGGTATGAGGAGAAAACTTTAGGCCTGGTAATGTTGCAGTATTATTATTTATCCTAGTGCATAGTTGACTTGAGTAAAATATGATACGTCTGCTCAGTACTGTTTAAAATTATAAAAGAAAAGACATTTCAGCTACATGGAAAAATGCTTGTGTTGCTATGTTAAGCAAACAGTTTAAAAAGAGGTACAAAATCTAAAAGATTTATGGAGATGTAAAATGCATGGAGGATTATAGGAGCATATGAAGTTCTCACACAGGTGCTAGGACATAGCTGCTTTGTCCCCAAGGTCTTTTTGACACTGTTACTCTGACATTACCTTTTTTCTAATGTTGCTAAAAAAAAATTAAGTAGTTAGCAAAACATAGACCCTAACCCAAATGCCTGAGCCTCAGCCCATGAGGCCACTGTCTGGTCCCAGGCTGCTGGTAAGGGCCAGGGGCCAGGCACCTGAGGCTTGGCTCTGATGGGTCACTTGGACCTGATGTGGGGTTCTCCTCAAATTCCTGAGCTTCTCTGGGTGGGCCCTCGGCAGGAGGGCGGGGAGGCATGTGTGCGCTTCAGTATGACCTTTTACCCTTGACCTCACCACTCTTAGGGGCATCCTTGAAATTCTTAGCAGTGTCTTCAGTGACACATACATTACATTAATGTTCTGGTATTTCTTTGTAATAATTATTTTGGGGGTGGAATAATAATTTTCAGAAGCTGTTCTAGTAGGCTGTTAACTAAATCATTGCTTTTTAAAAAATTATAATAGTAATGCATCCTCACAAGAGTTCAACCAATCCAGTTATGAGCGAAGCGCAGAGTAAAAGTCCCCAGAAGGGAGGGGTAGGTCGGTGGTGAGAAAGAGCCTGGGGTGTCGGTCTGTTGGACACAGTGCTTGATTATACAAACAGCAGTCTTTACTTTGGCTCATGAAAGCCTCATGGTTCGCAGGGTGCAGAGCAGGGTCGCCGTCCCAAATGACTGTGTCGCAAGGGTCTTGGGAATGTTCCAGCTTGGGAACACAGCTGTGCAAGAACAGGCCGGGGGACCACAACACTGGATGAGGACAGTGGTTATGTTTGCATGTTTCGGATCACACTTCTGCCTCCCCCTTCTGTGTTCCTAAAAATTGTCTACAATGTGGTTCTAGTTCTTTCATAATCGAAGTCCAATCTGAGAGATGCTTAGAACACCATCTGTGTGCCGGACACCGTGCCTGATGCTGGGGATGCAGGCATGGTCGCTGCTTGGCACAGCTTCAGTTCAGGGGGAGAGGCAAATGGTTTTGCAGGACACTGTGAGACTGTGTGATGAGCCCAGGATGGAGGAGCTCAGAGGGCTCTCCACCCTCTGAACACATCTGTGTGGCGCGTAAGCCAGACTGGGGCAGGGGTGCCCCTGGAAGGCTTCCTGGAGGAAGAGTTGTCTGCCCTGGATCTTGAGGGCTTTATGCCTGAAGGTCAGAGTGGGGGGTTTTACAAGAAAACAAGCAGCGTTTGGCAAAGCTGGGAGGCAAGAGAAAGTGTGTCCTGTTTGAGGAACTGGAATTCTGGTGAGACAGGAGCATAGCCCGAGTATGAGGGGTGCTGGTGAGCAGTGAGTCTGAAGGCTGGAGCAGGACCCGGACCATGAAGGACCTTACTTTCTTACTCAAGAATTTAGATTTTGACCCAAGGGCAATCAATGTAAAGCTATTGAGAAATATGTATTTTTATGTACTCTCCTCCTTGCTCACTTACTTATTCTACCAAATTAATTTTTATATAAAAGTAATACATGTTTGTTGCAAAAACCTCAAATAATACAGAAGCATATAGAATGAAGAGTAAAGTCCCCTTTCCTCTCCCTCACTCCCTCCCCCATCCTAACCCCCGGAGATACCTACTGCTAAGTATCTCTTTTTCACCCTTGCAGAAGTTGTCTGTGTACATGCAAGCACATACTGTGTATGTATGCTTTCTACTTACACAAGTGGAACTGTGCCATACTAAATAATTTCCATGTAAAACTTGAACAGCTTGGACATCTTTTCCTACCAGTACACAGATACATATTCTTTTCAGTGGTGCATCATACACCTTCATATAGCTGGCCCATGGCTGACTTAACCAGTCCCTTACTGAGAGACATTTAGACTATGTCTAGTTTTTCACTACTAAAAGGCAAAACTGCAGTGAACACCCTTGTTATGTATGTACCTTTGGGTATTTATGTAAGGGTATCTGTAGGCTATGTTACTCAAAGTAAAATAACAGGGTAGAGAGTTTGCACATTTAAAATTAAGATAGATGTTACCCAAGTGTTCCCTACAGAGGTGTTAGCGCTCCCCCCACCAGCATAGTGGGGGTGTCTGTTTCTTCACAGCCGCTCACCATGGGATACACCCATATTTTTAAATTGTGGTGAGAGACACACGGCAGACTTTACCATCTTTACCACTTTCACAGTTCAGTAGTGTTAAGTGCACGCACACTGTTGCATAACCTGTCTCCAGAACTTCATCATCTTGCAAAACAGAAACTCTGTACCCAGGAAACAGCCCCCGTCCTCCTCCCCTGGAGACCGCCCTGTTCTGTCTCTGTGAGCGTGATTATTCCAGGTGCCTCGCCCACAAGTGGACTCACTCAGTATTTGTCCTTTCGTGTCCGGCTTATTTCACTCGGTGTCCTGTCCTCAAGGCTCATCCACAGCCAGCAGGTGCCAGGATTCCCTGCCTGCTTTGAGGCTGGTTAGCGTTCCATTGTGTGTATAGACCACACCTTGTTGATCCATCACCCAGAAGTGGACACTCGGGTTGCTTCTACCTCTTGGCTGTTGTGAATGTTGCTGCTGTGGACGTGGGTGTGCAGATCTCTCTCCAAGATCCTGCTTTCAACTCTTTGGGTGCATACCCAGAGGTGGGATTGCTGGGTCATAGGATAATTCCATTTTAAATTTTTTGAGGAAAGACCAGACTGGTTTTCACAGCATTTGCACCATTTTACATTCCCACCAACAGTGCACACAATCATTTTACTTTCTCCACATCCCTGTCAACCCTTGTCACATTCTGACTTTTTAACAGTAGCCATCCTAATGTGTGTGAATGAGATCTTACTGTGGTTGATTGGCATTTCTCTAATGTTCAGTGGTGTTGAGCATCTTTTTGTATGTTTGTTGGCTGTTTGTATATTACCTTTGGAGAAATGTCTCTTCAAATTATATTCACTTTTTTAACCTTTGCCAGTCTAACGGGTAAAAAATAATATTTCCTTGTTTTATTTGGCGTTTCTTTTAACGATGAGTGAAATTCATTCTTTTATTCAACGAATAAATACTGAGTGGCCCCTGTGTGTCTGGCACTGTTCTAAATTGCTAAGGACATAAAAAAACCCAGGTTGAGCATCTCTGTATTTCTTTGGCCATTTGTATTTCCTACTCTATAGACTGTTTTTATGTCTTTTGCCTTTTTTTTTTATCAAGTATAACTTGATAAGAACTCCCTTAACTTATAAGAACTCCTTATCAAATATTAAGGAAATTAGCTTTTTGTGAATAAGTTTTCTACTGCTGTGTAACAAATTACCACAAATAAAATAAAAATGACCTTTTATTATCTGACAGGTTCTATAGGTCAGAAGTCTGGCTACAGCTTCTCTGGGTTCCTGCTTCAGGGTCTTACCAGGCTGCAGTCCAGGGACTGGCTGAGGCTGTGGTCTTCTCAGAGGCTGAACGGGGAGTATCCCTGGGGTTCTGGGCAGAATTCATCTCCGTGCGGCTGTAGGGCTGAAGCATCCATTTCCTGCGGAGGCGCCCTCCGCGTCTGCGGGCCGCCTGGCCTCCTTACCGTGTGGGCTGCTCTGCCGTGGCCTCTTCATGGCAGCTTATTTCCTCGAGGCCGATGGAGAGGATACTCTCTAGCATGTCTGCTAGAAGATGGAATAATCCTACAAAAATCATAACATGGTCACAGGAGTAACATCCTATCAACGTTCC